CGTGTATTGATGCTTGGATTTTTGTCCTCACCTTTTGTTTTTGCCGCAAAGCATAATATTAGTAATTACTAGAGTAGAGAAATACATACACAAAGCTAGCATGTTTTTCCCCTTTTGAACTTGTTTAGGATCATTGGAAGGTACCACACCACGTTGTAGACTAAAGAGCACATTCCTACGATATATATGGAGTAAATTTCACCGGTGATCATATAAACTTGTCCCAAATTCTCATTTTGGTCTAGGTACTTGTAAATTGCGCACTCGGCTCCCTAAACTTGTCCCGATGCCTCATCTTGGTTTCAGTACTTACAAATTGTACACTCGACTCCATAAATTTGACCTAAGTTCTCATCAAGGTCCCGATACGTGCAAATTGCACACTTAGCTCCATAAAACTGTATTGTTATAACATCATGTTCCAACGCCTCCCCCACATTGCGTTGTCTTTGCCCTGCTCCTTGCACGTGCACGCCTCACCCGTGTGGCTGCTCCGCTCTTCACTACGATTGCTCCGCCACCCTGTGCTTGCATGCACCACATCGTCGGTGTGGTGCCACAACCATGCTGCCATACCACCTGCTGCGCTCACCCTACCATGCCATAGAGACACGCTTGCAGTTGCGAGCTGCCATGTTGTGCCCTTATCGAGGCACCTCACCCACCCACAGCGTTGTAGGCATGCACACACGTCCACGTGAGATAAGCTCATCATGCCAGGAGGTGAGTAAGGACGGAAGAGTGGGGAGTGGGTGTGAGGAGATAGCTAGCATGAGAACCTCCACTATGGGGGGAAAGGAAGGAGTGTGGCGGTATCGAAGTCGAGTGTGACTGCCACGGGGTGTGGGTCGGTGCCGACGCTGCGGTAAAGTGGAGCAGGAGCGAGGAGGACCACAGCGACAGGGGCTCGCAGGGTCATGGCAGCATGGGTAGTGTTGGGCGACCGTGGTGCAGCGCAACACTGCCGTGTAGGTGAGCAGGCAAGTGCAACGTGAAGGGGTGAGGACAGGTTGGACACATGTTTAGAGAGTCGAGTGTGCAATGTAAAAGTCCGGTGATGGTGATGAGAATTATGGCAAGTTTAGCAAGCTGAGCATGTGATTTGCAAGTAACAGAACTAGGATAAGAACTCGAAAGAAGTTTAGGGAGCTAAATGTGTAATTTGTAAGTACTAAAACCAAGATAAAAGCTTAGGATAAGTTCAACGGCCGCTTCCTGTTACAGAAATTTCCTGACATATGGAACTTTTTAGACCATTTCTTGGTTCTTTTCAACAATGGCGCAAGATCATAATCTTGTAGAAAGGAAGTCTTCCTTTATTCACTCCATATGTATAGCTTATATATGCACCTACCAACTGCTTTCTACATGCACGGCTCATGCCGATCAATCGTGAAAAGGATCAGCAGAGAACAGTCACTCGTCCTAACGTGAAATGAAATGGTGTCGTGTCAAGCATGAATCTACACCCAACACGGAACCGGTGTTTTAAAAAAAAAACTAGGCACTATAGACGGGCTGGCGGGCTCCACCTATATATATAGGGGTGCCTAGACTCCCAGTAGGTGTTATTTATTGCTAGGCGTCCGTGGATCTCCTAAGAAAAAATAAGAACGATAATGCTTTGACGAGGACATCCGTCCGGACGTGTCGGTCCTAACACCCCGCTCCTGGGCTGCGTATCGATTGGGCCCTGCCTCACCACCGTGCCGCACCTGCCCCCAATCTCACGAAACGCCGCACCCCATCCCATGCCGCGCTGGGCGTCCACCGCCGTGACCCGTCCACCTCGCTGGGCGCGGCCATGACGTGCAAAGCGCCACCACCACCCTGTACCAGGAGGTCGTCGGCCGTTGCTCTCGACGTCCCCTTAAACCCGAGTTTGCTGGGTTCCGTAGTCCCCCACCAGGTAGCCCATGGCCACCAGTGACGCCATGTTTTGTTTCAGGCGTTTCAGACTTATGTTTCAAGTGTTTCATCTGGATGTTGCAATTGTAGATCTAGGATATTTCATATGTTGCAATGACAATATACGCATGTTTCAAGCCAATGTTCCAAGTGTTTCAGTTGTTTCAGACGCATGTTTCAAGTGTTTTAATCTTGGATGTTCCATATATTGCTATGGCTGCACACGCATGTTTCAAGTGTTTGTTTTCATGTGTTTCAGTTGTTTCAGACTTATATTGAAAAGTGGATCTGGATGTTGCATATGTTGCTATGGCTATATATGCATGTTTTAAATATTTCATATGTCTTCAGTTGTATGCTGCAAATGTTTCATCTTTATGTTTCAAAAGTAGATCGGGTGTTGCACATGTTACGATGCGCACTGGTGGCTGGCGGGCAGCGGCCTACCGCAGCCGTTTGGTGCTGCTGCCGGGGCGCAGCCGTGGTTCACGTGCGGGGGCGCTACCGTGGTTCACGTGCGGACGCGGGGGCGCGGTTCCAGACGCTGGTGTGCGATGCGGGTGGGCATGGGGCGCGGGATGCGCTGCGGGCGGGCATCGAGTGCAAGCACAGAGCTCCGTCCGGACGGATGCTGCCTTCGGAGCGGGATTTGGCGTGGGGTGAAGGGAGTTGCGTGCGTCGGACGCGGGTGTGGGAGTTGCATCCGGATGGATGCCGCGTTCCGAACATCGGCGCTAGTCGTCCCGAAATAAGAATGATATTAAAAAAATAAGAATGAGATCCAAACACTTCGATTCTAGAATCTAACTATCTACCACAAAATCTGTTATTTGGATGAGATTTTCACTACACGAAGACAATAATCGCTATAACAATGAGAACCAAACAGTGGAACAGACCACATTTTTTGATTGAGAATACCAAAACAAATTAAAAGATTGGTATTATCAGGCATATATTTGTAATACGATCCTAATTCATCTTTAGTTATCCTGTTCTCATATGATATGCACGAAGCTGAGAGCATCTCTACCGAGAACAGCCGGGGCGAAAATGCATGCATGGAATTCTCAAAAAAAAAAAATGCATGCATGCACTCTCTTGGCGTGATCCCTGCTTTAGGACGACTCCACTGATCACCCCACGTACAGGCAGCAGATGGATCCATATGTAGCTAGGCACTCACTCAACCTAGCTGATGTTGATCGGTGGAAGTGACCGGATTGCATCGCGGTAACATGGATGCGCTCATGCACTACATATCTATAATAACTAGTATCTATCTATGAGTGCATCAATCAATCAAGTTGCTTCGAGTAGGAATCTATTCTATTCTACGACGACAGAAACATCTTTGTAGAATTCAAGAACAGTAGGGATCAGATCGGAGCATATATATGTTAAAAGTTGTTTGAAAAACACATCTTTCGGTGCACTTCGACGGCAAAGCCATGGAAATTTTGCTTCTGATCCAATTCTCTTATGCACGCAGCTCCTTTTGGGTATCGTATAGTACAATGCAACCGGAAGAACCGCATGCACGACTGGACCAAGATGTGGGGATGGAGCTAGGGCGGAAGGAATAATCATTGTACTTTGCGGCCTAATTCTATGGCTGAATCTCAGGCCAGGAACGTAAGGCCAAAGAGGGGCCTCAAACATATAAAAGGACCATGATATGATATGTCACTGAACTTTTGGAAGCAGGAAAGAGAATAATGATTTAGGAGCGGCGCTTGCTTACCGCTACGAGTAAAGCGCCCTGTTCGTTTCCTTATAAGCCATATTTTTTTCAGTCAACGAATAATATTTTTCTCTCACAATAAATCAATCAACAATGCTTTCAACCATAGATTATCAGCCAAGTGAACAGGACAAAGGTTTTTCATAGCAGGCTGAGCTTATTTATTAGCGGCAGACAGGCAATCTTCTGCAGAAGCTATATCGGGATATAATGGAATATATTTCGTTTAGCAATTTAACAGAAAACATAGATAACCAATTATGTAGGAAAAAAAACATGGAACTAAGAAAAATTCATGAATATAAATACTCAAAATACACGTCAAAGGCTCTAGAAGAGGCATCCTGGTCGTATGCATCTAAAATCAGACGCCTGGAAGTCATGCCTCCGCCCAAACAAGTTTCTGAAGCTTTATTAAACCAAACAGCGCATTCAGGCGTTGGTAATGACTAGTGCTGAATCGAACATTTTCGTACATTTTCGTATAGAAAGGAGTTATTGAAGAGCAGAGCACAAAGGGGTGGTGGCGCAGTTCGCGTAGGTCTCATAGCTGAAAGTGAGTGATCCCGAGGTCGAGAGTTCGAGCCTCCCTCACCCCACGCCCAAAAGAGCAATGATTAAACCCTGTGCTCATGTGACTGGTTGGGTCCGTCACACTGACTAATCTCATGATTAGCTCTCAGCACATATGAGCTCTTTCTTTTTTTTTTTTTTTCTTCTTCCAGTCCCATGATTGGATTTTTTTTCCCTTTTGATTTCTGATACTTTTTTTTACTTTCCCTACATTGGTATACCGATTGCAATCTAAATATCTAGAGTACTTCATAAATTTTAACAAACTGAAACACCTGAATACCGACACTAAAATAGGTTTGCTCAGCATCTCATCTCACTACCTGAACCCTTGATGTCGGCTGCCCGGCTCACTCCCCAGCCAGCCTCAAGACAGATTGCAAGGTTCTGGACGCACTGCATGGTGACTCCAGTCAACGGTGGCAACTTCTGATTTCAAGTTATACCAGTTCATACATAGCATATGCATCTCCAGAATCAGGAGCGGAGTTACAAAATGCGCGCGGTGGGTGACTGCAGCACCGCGACGGCAGCAGCTGAAACAGAGAAATAATAGGGCCCGAGAATCGACACTTAAAAGTTGTGAGAATTCTCGTCTTGATGAGATATACCTCGTCCCACTATAACTAGATAACCATTCTGACATTTTGACATCAAGGGTCAATGACCAACCCAGCATATCAAGAGAAGTACACTGTATTATTGCATTATGCAAGGTTGGAGCCTAGGGAAAGAGGAGATGAACAAATTGGACGACTGCAGATGGGTTCAGCAGTTAGGCCGGATCACAGTTAGTGCTGCCACCGCCTCTGCTCCACTTGTCGTGCCAGTCGGAGAAGCCTGTGAGCAAGGCCTCTTGCATCCACTGGTACCGGCACCTTGATGCAGCATCAGGAACCGTGAGCCAGGTCCTCTGCCGGGTGCTCTGCTCAGGCCATGAGACCAGCTCTTCCTTTACATGCAGCGCAAACACTGCAGCTCTGCACATACCCTCAGGGCAGCACGCATCTTGATGTGTCTTGCTTTTGAAGTCATAGAGCCCCAGAAAATGCTATTCAGAAAGCAAATGACATTATATAAGCAAGAATGGTGTCAAGATATATTGATTGTTGGGTCAAGTAAGTTGTGTTGCAATAGGCACTTCACGAAATTGAATGACAGATAAAAGATAGCTGCGTATAAGCATCTATTGTCATCAAGGTCAAGGGACACTATTTTATCATGACGCAACACTAAGGACAAGGAGAGAAAAAAAGTTAAGCCTATCTTCATTGGCACCACATGTGTTCATCGAGATATAAGAGCCTTCTAGAAAATATAATAATTGATTTCATGGGTCTTCCACTATGTAAACATCCTGCATGCTACAAGCACAAAAGTGTTACAGGAGCAACGAGCAGGAACAAATGTCAATCTCGATTGTGCTATCCAACATTCAGACTAGAATGTCAATTACAACCTTAAGATTGGCCAAAAGAGTTCTCACTTGTGGCAGTTGAAGGACACGCCAGACTAAGCAACGGACAATAAATCCAATCGAAGCAACTAGTTCAACATCAGTGTCATGAACCACTGAGAGCACTACACAATGTGCATCTCATGTTTCTTCCACTAAGAATGTATGCCTGGCTCTAGATAAGCTTCAACGACAGATCTTATGGAAGTGCAGGCAAGCCAAGTATAATTTCATTACCACCAGCAAATGTTCTTAGTTGTAGAGGTTGCACATCATTAAACCCATTCAACTACAGGATATTAATCGATGTGTAAATGTAGGGCTTTTGACTTGACTCAATAACAGCAAGAAATATGATGGATTCCAAGGATAATGGATATGAAACTATAAATTATTCCCCCTTTTTAACATAGTTTCAGGTTTTCAAGGAAGTTAGACTCTGTAAAGGTTATAACTGTATGTCAGTATCTCCAATTTGGGCATACAACAGCAACATAGGATCAAGTGGGAGAACAAAAGGCATAATTCTGAATAGCAATAAAATTGCATTAGTAGCTTAGTACAGTCAAGTCTAAAAGAATTTGGCATGTCAACCAAGCATAGTACTTGAAAAGAATAGTTCTAATACAGTGAATAACGAGTTTCCATATCATCTAAGAATATCAGTTTCATGAATAAATCAAGATGGAAGCACAGGAAAACATGTATCAGCACATGGCATACATTAACTATTGAAAAAGTTTTAAATGAAAAGGGGCAAGATGAAAAGTAGTTTAGAAAAACACCATCTTTATAGGCATCTTACCACTATATCACCTCGAACTCCAGCTTCTTCTATAGCTTCTCGAGCTGCTGCCTCTTCAACAGTTTCATCGTTCTCCCATCCTCCCTGCAACAAGAAAACAAACATAACAAAATCTCTACATGGCAGCCCAGTGATATTTACGACAGGTTTATGAAAATAACATGGATACAACATGAATAAAACTTAACACTGTATATCAGAAAACTAGTCAGAGTAACCAACATGTGAACAGACCAAATAAAAATAATACATGAGACCTAAGCTTGCAAACAAGCTCATAAACAGCCCAAGGAATCCAGGTCGGCAACTCAGACATTCCAGTTACTTCATCTGGATTTCCTGGATTTCTAACCCAAGACACACTGGCACTTGGGAACTAACTGAAATAATAATATGCACTGCTATAGGGTATAAGTGTTCCAATGTAGTTATGTGAAAACACAGAAACAGAACAAGTTTGCAATAAAAATTGTCATACATGTACACAACTAGCAATGGATTTCAGATGAAGATGTTAACAGTAATACCCTTTGGAAACAAAAGACTAGTCCACTTTCTAATTATTGCAAGATGGAGATGTTTACAGTACAGTACCTTTGGAAACAAAAGACCAGGTCCGCTTTGGGAATTTATCATGAGAACTTCCACAAGTTTCTTAGTTTTGTCACCAGAGGTTTCATCATTATTAGCTCTATACCTAAATGGTATGCATCTGCAGAGAAAATGAAATTATTCAGAAATACGTAGATATGCCACTATGAATAAGTGCCAGTGTTTCTTAGATCCATAAACGCAAAGGCTGTAGTACAATAGAACAAAATTCTGTGGTGTTAAAATCGTGTTTGGACACCAGATAGGAACTATAAAGTAGTAATATATCAATGGCAGGCTTGGTAAAACTAGCACCGGACATGCATCTAGCATCTTAAAGATCAGGAACAGACAAATAGACCATAGGAGGACAAGGAAACACAAAGAAGATCAATTTCTGAAGCACTTTCAACACATTAAACGCTGGTGACTATGTAGACATAATGATAACACACAAAGATACTCCCTCCGGTTCTCTAAAGCAAGTCGTTTTGGACATCGACACGGTCTTTAAGAAACGACTTTGACTACAACTTTTTGCTATAAAATATTTATAAAATATAGTTAATATATACTTTTATGAAACTACATTTCGAGATGAATCTACTTACATCACTTTCATATTTTCAAACTTAACCCAAAAGAAGTTATTTGTAGTCTAAGTTTAAAATGTTGGACTTAAGATAACATCAAAACGACTTGCTTTAGAGAACCGGAGGGACTAGATAGTTTACCCTTTCGGCTGACCCTTCCAGATAGTATTATTTCCTAATCAAACATGGGTCATTTTGATTCCCAGTTTAGACCAGGATCCCTTTTATAGTGTAGCTACATGTTGATATGTAAATATCCTAAGAAGCTTTACATATTCTGGTATTGCTGCTATTCCTACATGTCTCATGATAGGCACTATATTCCTACAAGCTCAAGAGAAGCCACAAGCTGGACACAAGGCATAGAAAAATCTGTCCTAGCTAAGGAAAAACAGAAGCTATATAAAGAAGAAAACATGTAGAAAAAATAAGGCACCAATCATGAACACCTGGATTATGAGCACTGATTCATGGCCTTTTGCTATCAACAACGATGACAAGAATACCCAATGGCACCAACTAATCCGAACTGTATCTATCATCCACAGCAACAAAGTCTTTAAGTCCCAAACAAGTTGGGGTAGGCTAGAGTTGAAACCCAGCAGAAGCAATCAAGATTCAGGCACGTGAATAGCTATTTTCCAAGCACTCCTATCTAAGGCTAAGTCTTTGGGTATATTCCATCCTTTCAAGTCTTCTTTTATTACCTCTACCCAAGTCAACTTCGGTCTTCCTCTGCCTCTCTTCACGTTACTATCCTGGCTTAGGATTCCACTACGCACTGGTGCCTCTGGAGGTCTCCATTGAACATGTCCAAACCATCTCAACCGGTGTTGGACAAGCTTTTCTTCAATTGGTGCTACCCCTAATCTATCACGTATATCATCGTTTCGAACTTAGATCCCTTCTTGTTTGACCGCAAATCCAACGCAACATACGCATTTCCGCGACACTTATCTGTTGAACATGTCGTCTTTTCGTAGGCCAACATTTTGCACCATACAACATAGCAGGTCTAATCGCCGTCCTATAAAACTTGCCTTTTAGCTTCTGTGGTACCCTTTTGTCACATAGGACACCAGATGCTCGGTGCCACTTCATCCACCCTGCTTTGATTCTATGGCTAACATCTTCATCAATATCTCCGTCTCTCTGTAGCATTGATCCTAAATATCGAAAGGTATCCTTCCTAGGCACTACTTGACCTTCCAAACTAATATCTTCCTCCTCCCGAGTAGTAGTGCCGAAATCACATCTCATATACTCAGTTTTAGTTCTACTGAGTCTAAAACCTTTGGACTCCAAAGTCTTCCGTCATAACTCCAGTTTCTGATTCACTCCTGTCCGGCTTTCATCAACTAGCACTACATCGTCCGCGAAAAGCATACACCAAGGGATGTCCCCTTGTATGTCCCTTGTGACCTCATCCATCACTAAGGCAAACAGATAAGGGCTCAAAGCTGACCCTTGATGTAGTCCTATCCTAATCGGGAAGTCATCCGTGTCTCCATCACTTGTTCGAACACTAGTCACAACATTGTTGTGCATATCCTTAATGAGCCCGACGTACTTCGTTGGGACTTTATGTTTGTCCAAAGCCCACCACATAATATTCTTTGGTATTTTATCATAAGCCTTCTCCATGTCAATAAAAATCATGTGTAGGTCATTCTTCTTCTCCCTATACCGCTCCATAACTTGTCTTATTAAGAAAATGGCTTCCATGGTTGACCTTCCGGGCATGAAACCAAATTGATTCATAGAGACCCGCGTTATTGCTCTCAAGCAATGCTTGATAACTCTCTCCCATAGCTTCATAGTATGGCTCATCAACTTAATTCCCCGGTAATTAGTACAACTTTGAATATCCCGTTTACTCTTGTAGATCTGTACCAATATACTTCTCCTCCACTCGTCAGGCATCATCATCCATCTACCAATACTGATTTGAAGTGAACTAAAGAGCCACTTCTTGCGTTGGGAGACAAACTATTCATCAGACGACAATTCATTTCCACCATCAGGCCCGTAGATTAGCAGGAGCAAGCTGTGCGACTGTTCAGGGCCTCCAAACTTTAAAGGCCTCCAAAGTACTAATTAACAATGGTTGATCAATTATTGGATAGAAGAAATAAAATGCAACATTACAACATAGGCCTTAGATTACCGATTAGCTAATTGGACCAGAAGGACGTAAGCTCGGTGGCCAATGCCGGCCGGCCTGCTTGGCTTGGCTTCTTAGATTTTAGGGCCCTATCTTATGTTTCACACAGGGTCCTCCAATTTGTAGGTACGGCCCTGCCACCATGCCCTAATATCAATGCAACCAAGCAAGCAGAACTGCTTTTATGTCTTGCTTCGGGGTAGAAGCATCCCACCACAGTTCCTAACATATATTAACACACCATCTATAAGTGAAATAAACAAACAGTGATCTCAATACTGTCGCTATCACAGGTGTTACAAGCTAGATACTGTGCATTGATTAAGACCTCCATGCTCAGTGTATGTGTATACAACAATTCGCGACGATAACCAGACTGTTAGCAAGTTTTTTTTTAACAATAACAAAATAACAAGAAAAAATAAAGAGAGCGAGCATATCTAGACGCCAGCAAATCACCGCAACAAACAAAACAATCGAGCCCCGGTGGCACACCACCACGCCGCAACGATCCACTCGCCAGAACCCATGCTAGCCCACCGTACGGTGGCGAAGAATACGACGCGCACCGCGCCGGCGCCGCATTTAGGTCAAGAGGGCAATGAGCACGCACGCACGCACGTAGCAATCGGCCCCAACCCAATCGAATCCAATCGGGAAGGGAACCTCCGAGCACTAGGAGCAATAATTGACAAGGGAATCAATCAATCAGTCAGTCAGAGCCAGCCAAGCGCGTACCCGGCCACTAGCCGACGGCCATCCTCATACCGCTGCTGGTGCCGGCCCGTGCGGGCCACCAGGTCGCACATGCCGCCGGCTCCGCCGCCGCCCGCTCCTCCTCCTCTCTATCCGGCGGGCGTCGTCGGCGGGCAATGCGGCGAGGGCGAGAGGGGGGGGAGAGATTTGTGCGGGGCTAGAGGGAGAAAAGGGGGGGCGCGGCGCGGGGGCGATAGGAGGTGGGAGTTCGCCGTGAAGGCGCCCTGTTTTTCCCTTTTCTTTCTTTCTCCGTGAAGGCTTGATGACTTGTCCTCCTTTTTTCCGAGTTGTCACGGCCTCTCAAGTGGCTTGCCTCTTCGTCATAGACTAGAGGCATGGTGCGAGACGTGGCATAATAATATTTTCGTTTATCTAGATAGAATTGTCTTTTGCTGGGATTGTCTCTATTTTTTTTCATTTTTATCATAAAATTGTTCGTCTTTGCTTCAAGTTTTTCTTGTGGATAGAGGTGGGTCTTTGATGAAAGTTTTTCTTGTGATAGATGTGCACCTCATGTTGACGATGATGCATTTGTTCGTTTTCGGTTTGGAAAATTTAACATGTGGTCTGTGTGGCACATCAGAGTGAGGTGGTATAATTCTTTTGGTTTTTTTTTCGATTTGGATGTGTTGCACCACGTTCGAGTGGCACGTCGGATAAAGGACTCCTTGTTTTTCTTCTTTCTCCTTTGTTTTTGTTGTTCTGGCACGATAATTTTTTTTTGGAACGCTTCATCTAGAATTGTCTTTTTCTAGGATTTTTTCTTTCATTTCTCCGCGTTTCTATCACAAATTGGACGTATTTGCCAAAAGTTTTCTTTGTATGATATATGTGCTATGTCGTGTTGAGGGTGTATTTATTCGTTTTCGGGTTTAGAAAATTTAACGTGTGGTCTATGTGGCACGTCAAAGTGAGGTGGCATGCATTGCTTTAGTTGTTCCGTGCTAGCTCGATGGCTTGTCCTTTGTTTTACCACTCAAACCATCTCAAAGTGGCTTGGCTGGGTTAGAGCATCTCCAACAGTCCCCCAATACAACTCCCCCAATAAGATATTATTGGGGTAGCCCAATATCACTTTCTAGATTTATTGGGGGAGATGTTGTAGTAGTACCTCAATATATCTCCCCCAATAACCATATGAAAGGTGGGTCCCACAGAAGTGTAAGAGAAAATATGGCTGAAAAGTGGTAGTTGGGATGGTCACCATGGTATTGGGGGAGTTGTATCTCCCCATTTCTTTGAGGGGAGATGAGGAAAAAATATTGGTGGCTACAAAAAAAAAAGAGGTATTGGGGAACTGCTGGATTAAGAAAAAAGCATAGCTATCCCCAATATAACAGTTTTATGGGGATAGAGAGAGATATTGGTGAAATGTTTGAGATGCTCTTAGGCACTTTCGAGAATGGGGAGGGCCGAGACGCAACATGAAGTGTGTTCGACTATCTAGTTTTTCAAAAAGAGAACAAACTTCTTTATAGTTTTTATTTTACTTCACCTGGAGTTGCCATTTGTTAGGATTTTCTTTTGATTTTTTTCCTTTCTTATTAGAAAGCATCTTCCTTTAGCGAAAATTTTCCATGTGATATATGTTGCATGCCATATTGAGGATGAATTTGCTTATTTTTGGATATAGAAATTTTTATGTGTGGTTTGTGTGGCAAGCCTATTGAAGTTGCATGAATTCCTTTTGAGTTTATGCCCTGTTTCAAATAGCTTATTTGGAAAGCGCTTTCCAGATGCATTAATAAAGTAAAAGTGGCCATCAAAATAAGCTGATCTAATCCAGTTTCTGTTTTTTTATACAAATAAGAGTGGTGGGAATAAGCGCGGTCGAATAAGTTCCAAAAAAAACCATACTGTTTAGCTATTGGTTTCAGCTTATTTTAGTCATGAGCAGCTTATAAGCTATACCAAATAAGCCGATTAGATGTGTTGCATTTGTGGTTAGGTGGCACATCGATGGAGGTGCCTTGTATTTTCATTATGTTCCCTCTTTCGTTCAATGTTTGTTTTATGGCGGTTCGCTTGCTCGCTTGCCTTTTGTTTTTGTTTTTCTTTTGTCATTCAAGGTCGTCTCGGCATCCCAGTTGAGTTGGGTGTTTTTCATCTAGACTAGAGGTCGTCCGGGTGATGTCACACATGCATTACTACTAAAACTGATCGATAAACAGATATAACCAAGAGGCAAATAATATGAGCCACATAGCACACTAGTTAACTACTTAACTCCAACATTTAGGATCCCATGTGAAAGATCGTTCCAGCATTTACGGATAGATGTACTTGCTCTGTTCTAAATTGTGAGTTGCATTGGTTTTCTAGATTTATAGTTTTACTATGTATCTAGACATAATGTAGTTCTAGGTATATAGAAAATCTATGAATCTAGAAAAAAAAATAAAACAATTTATAAATTAAAATTGAAGGAGTAACAGTATTTCAAAGACACTAACAGGATAATAGAACACACTAGTATACCACAAACCCAACTTGACAAGCGATAGTGATGGCATAGTAGTACACGCATTAGGTTGACAAAAAAAAATATGCTGTTCACAAGTTTAGCTATGACAGAAGTCGTAGTTTTCCAATGTTGATGAGACCGCGATTCCGCAAGTCCATGAATAAGAGAAAAAAAAAGCAGGTCAACACCGAAGCTATTCACAAGCCCTGTTGCAGCACTTATTCAACAAGTGTAGATAGTTCCTACACCTGCCCAGGCGAGCTTCCTTGTTTGTAAGACTGTAAAATCAACCAAGAACAATGGACCACATATACTAAACAACACTGATTGTAATGCCAGTACACAATGCATGCTTGTATCAACAGTAGTAATCTAACAGAAGCTTAATATCTGAGTGAAAAAAGTCTGGAAAAATACATATCACCAAAGAGAGTCAAAGATACATATAAAATGTGAATGCCACCATGCATGAGCTCACTCAACCAAATAAAAGTACTCCCTCCGTTTCAAACTATAAGTAACTTTATTTTTTTTACATTCATTTTGCTATGCACCTAAATATAATATTATATCTAGATACATATCAAAACGGATAAACCAAAAAAATCAAAGCGGCTTATAATTTGGAACGGAAGGGAGTAACAGAGTTGAAGGACGCGGTAAAGAATAGCAACCAGGCTTAGGGAGCAACAGAAATACTCTATATAGAATGTTGCATCCTTCATAGCTCACTGGTCGATCTCTGTATGGCATCAACTTCTGTCAAGTAAATGCAATTAAATAAACATAATGATGGTATTGTGGTATGTTTCCAAAATGAATGTAAAAAATAGCACCTTCCGATATTGCGTTAGCAACTCCTCTAATCACATAGCAAGCATTGCTCTAAATAGCTTGGTCACTGCCAAAGAAACAAACTGCATATATAAGCCGCCAATCAATGCATATGCTTTAGGAACCGGAAAACAATTAACAGCCTGTTCGCTTGCTCGTAAATGATCGTAAATTTCCAGCCGGGAACAGTGTTTTTCTCTCACACCAAACCAGCCAGCAGTAAATAATCCACGATACGATACGGTCTCCCGAACAGGCTGTAAATTTCATCCAAGAGAAGGAAAAACTTCAAAAGGGGCTTGGCAGTGAACATTAAAGAGAGTATACAATATGAATGTAACTATTTAAAAAAATGTAACAGCAGTGGCTCGAAACTAATAATATGCTAAAGATGCAACATAATACAACAATGCAATGCCACAAAAGAGGCTTAAATGCAGACCATGTGACTACCAAGACCAAAACGAAAACAATGTCGACTAAGAAAATAAAAACAATGTCGACTAAGAAAATAAGGCATTGTGGACGTGTACAAATAGCTGGCCGACGTACTTTTCCCACCGGAGCAGCAGGCACAGCAGGACAGGGTTCTGAATTTCCAGCCAACACAATAACAAAAATAAAGATGATGAAGATCACAAGACAATGGCATGGTTTGTAATGAATGAAGAGCAAAGATACTCACATGCCACATACAACCATGTTTTAGGTAGACCAATTAAGGAAATCACAAAAACAGCTACAAAGCAAATGCAACCAGCACACCACCATCAAATTGCAGATAAGTCATGGTAATGATAACAATAGCATAAGAAAGCTACAACTACCAGGCACCAGCAAAATATAATGATGAAAGAAAATCATCAAAAATATATAAAAAGAGATGCATGGAAGAAATGGTTCCCTTTCTTCAAAAGGTTCCATTTGTTATGTGCCGTCTCAACCAAATGCAAACAAACTAGCCTCAGAAAGTGGTTGTTCAGGAGACGCGTCATATGTGAGAAAAATAAAACCCAGGAAAATACATGATGCCACACAGCTTAAAACTAAGAAAAACCATGTGCCTTGTGAACCCTAGCATCCTGTAGCAACCTATGAATATTTGCAGTGCCTCCACTATATATCTCCACACTAGTCACCGTGTTATGAAAACTCATGAGCAGCTGGGAAAAAAGTCGTTACAATGTCCACCTCTGTAACTGTAATTGACGATCCACTTTACAACAGCCAAAGAGCTTGCCAACGATATATCCATATGCCCCTTGAGTAAAGTTACTTAGGCTGTGTTTGGTTTGCGGAAAAGGGTGGATTGATATAGATATCCATGGATATCGGGATATGGATATCCATATTGTCTGTTTGGTTGGGTGGATGGGATAAGTCATTTTTCTGTTTGGTTTGATGGATGTGTTGGACGGAATGAGTCATTTTTTTTGTTTGGTTGGATGGAGAAGGATGGACAAGGGAGCTGCAATCATCACCTACCCAAACTGGTGAGGTTACCCCTTCAAACATGCACAACTGCTGCAACACATGTACAAAACGCATGACATTTTGATAAGCACATGCATTGTCGGAACAGAAATTACACATGTAGATAATTAGCAGGTTTTAGAACTTTCTCACATTACATACAAAATATATAATAATTCAAGAGTGCAATGTTTGATGGGTTACAAGCATGTCTGCTACAAATATATAGATTAACCAGTAGTGCATTGTCTATGGGGTACTAGCAAAAGAGTTGTAGCAGTA